TGTGGGGGACCAACCTCTCCTCCCCAGGGCTCTGTGTGTCAGAGAGAATGGTTTGCTTCCTTAACCAGGGCAGAAGCTCTCTGGTGCTTTTTTTGAAAAGAGATATATCTCTGCAAACAAAAATGAGCCAAAGGGTTTTAAAGAGGACTTATGACTTAAATATTTTGTGGCCAGGTATGCTTGACGGCATCTTCGATATCCAAATTCATTAAAAACTCCACCAAAACTCGTATTTTCCTTCGGAGATTAAAGTTACTTAGCTGCTTACCTCACTTGGGAAACTCACTGAGCTAAGTAGATTACCAGAGGAGAATGCAGAGTTTTATTTTCTGAAAAATTTTGAAAAGAATAGCTTTCACATTTGTGTGATAGTCTGATTTCTACGTGGCCTGCAGGCTGAAAGCTCAGAGGATAATCTCTAGTTACTCTATGCAGCCAAATTCTGATTAAATTAAGATCCTTAGCAAGTGATGGGCTTCTATTGTGCCATGGTTTCCTAAAATACAGTGGATATTTTTGACCGCCTTCTTAGTCTATGCTTTTAAGTTCAGGTGAATTAATGTTGCTTACTGCCTTTCATAAACACTGGGGAAAAGGAGACCACTTTTAAGAGGCTATCTCCAGGCCCCAGGCACAGACCGGGGCTTGGGTAAATGAAACCTGCTAGAAAAACACTACCCAAACCGCCCCACTCTCCAATAACTGGCTCTTGCTTTGTTCTTTCCACCTCCTTTCCTGCAGATTCTTGCTATTCTCCAGTTACATCTCTGCCTTATCTCCTAGGCTTAATACCTCCTGACTACCAGCTACTGCCATCCAAACTTGGCCCATATCCAGGTACTGAAATCATCTCTTCCGCCCAACTCTGCAATCCCACAGGTGATTTCCTGGGCAATGCTGCTCGAGTGATTTCACCCCAGGGCTTCCTTTACCTATGTAACGCCCTTGGCAGCATAATACTGCCTAAACGTGGTCAGTGCCAGCAACAGACTGAAGCATCATGCTATTGACAAGACGGTTTTCATCACCATTTGCAAAAGGAACAACTAATGACAGCACTGATAACCAGTGGTCACTGAGTACCTTGTAAAACCATTAAGCCCTTGCCCAGATGCTCTTAGAATTGTCAGTTGATGCACCAAAAACAAACAAACAAAAAACCCAGTGTGAAAGCAGCACTATGGAAGACTCAGGATCTCTGAGAGTGAACTGAAGAAAATGAAGACTTCTCTGAGTTAACCAATTCCCTCTCAGCTACCATACAACATCCAGAATACACAGCTAATGTTGGATAACGACAAGAATGGAGGTGGGGGGGAAAACAAACTCGAATTTCTGAGTGACCAAAAGTCCTGATAATTCTCTTACCATGTTGCCTCTTGTCACTTCCAAAATATTTTTATTACTTTCTATTACCTACAAAGTGAAATTAAAATCCTGTAGCATAAAAGCCGCAACCTAGTGTCTGCCAATCTTTATTTCTGGCCTTTTCTTTAATTGCAAGTTATCCCAGGCAGTGTTTAAATCAGTGCCCACCATGATCACATAACACAATTCCTGCTTAACTAAACAGGAGCATAACTCACTCGGCAAGTAAATTAACTTCTGAGCTTTGGGTTTTTTCATCTGTAAATGAGAATAATATTAGTATCTATTTCACAGGGTTGTTAGAAGTAAAGGCAATAAGGCAATGGGGATTTAACACATTGCCTTGCACATGGCTAGCAGGCAGTAAATGCTATCTGCAGTAGTAATTATTACTCCAGCCACCACGTGGGGACTTGCAGTTCCTTCACTATGCACTACACTTTCCTGACCTGTGTCTGTGTCCACATTCTTCCTTGGGAAATAATCAGACGTATATAGGGTGGCACTGTTTGTAACAGTGAAGAATCAGAAACATTCTACATGTAGAGAACTGGGTGTTAGATTCTAAAGGAGGGGACTTCGTGGGAACCAAAGAGTCAGACCTCTATCTCAGAGATTTCGTAGGCAGGTATACCTTTGCAAATTACCTTGTACTTTTAAGCAATCCCTTTTATCAGCTAAAAGAGTTGACATAGTAAACTGTATATTCCATATGATTATGATTTATACACTATAAAGAGGAAAAAAAGTAAGATTCATACATGTATTATCTTCTTTGTAGCATTTGGCATATACTAGACACCCTACGTGTGTTCCACAATGATAATCCAAGGTCATGGAAGTTCACTGCCAACTTCAGGGGAGCCTGAATGTTAGGAATGTGGCAGGCATTGCATCAGGCCCTGTAATACCAAGAAATATGAGACCGGGAAGAAGGCATAACAAAAATTAGAAAAGAAATTGTATACCATGAACTACAGAGAGACACTTAAAATCTTCCTCTACTATCAGAATAATGGCCATCCAAATAGGTCCACAGGCAAATCTCAGGCACCTGAGCATATGTTACCTTTCATGACAAACAGGGACTTTGCAGATGGTGATTACATTAAGGACCTTGAGATGGGAGATTATCCTAGTGGGTCCACTCTAATCACACGCGTCCTTAAAAGCGGACAGCCTTTCCTCCCAGTGGTCACAGAAAGAGACGTGATGGCAGAAGCAAGGCAGGAGAGATGTTAGGTTGCTGGCTTTGCAGATGGAGGAAGGGGGCCAAGAGCCGAGGGGCGCCGGTGGTCAGCTGCAAGCTAGAAAAGGCAAGGAAATAGATTCTCCCTGTGGGCCTCCCGAAAGGAATGCAGCCCTGCAGACACCTTGATTTTAGCCCATTGAGATGCTTGTTGAACTTCTGACCTACAGAACTAGAAGATAATAAATTCATGCTGATTTAAGCCACTGGGTTTGGGATCATTTGTCATGGCAGCAATAGAAAACTAATACAAAGGCCAACCAATGAAATTCACTGGGCAGCAGAGATGTCCCACAATACCACCAGTTGACAACTGTATGAATTTTACCAAAGAAGTTTTCTGGCACTTTAGGGATTGCAAAATAAAGTTGAAGTTATATTCCAAGAAGTCTGGTTTCAATGCGGAAAGAAACGTTAATACGAAAAAAGCCCCCAAACTGAAATATGCTTGTTACCTTTCCAAGACTCAACATTTTCAAGGAAGAAATCTTACCACTCATTATCTCTAGGGATATGGTAACTGAGAACTGAAATAACTTTGCAAACAGTCTCCAGAATTATTCATCTCTGATCAAGAGGACAAGTCCTAAGAGACAACCTTCCCTGATAAACCTGGAGACGAGAATTTTTAGAATGCTAAGAGCAGCAGGTTACCTCATCAGCAGCCAGGAGAGGTGGAATATAAAAAAGGATAAGGGAGACAGGCTGTGCATAGCGACAGGAAGGATAACTTAAAATACTAAGGCGTTTGTTAAAATTTCAGGCTATTACGAGCCAAGGTATCAGGTAATTAACATTGACTTAAATGCCACCAAAGCTTTTTAAGGTACCCACTATTTTTAAGACATTTTCACTTCATGCCTATCTATGCAATGACATTAAAAGGCTTATAAGAAAGAAGTTAAGAGTTCACAGAAGATGTGAATGTCTTAGAAATATGACCAATCGGTCCAGCATGCATGACCACTGCTGGTCACAGCGTTGGGGGACTTAGGATGACAGGAGAGCAAGGAGGTTGCCCCTTCACTTTGCCACTCTTAAAAGGTTGATATTGGGAGTGGAGGGCAGTGGCTCACGCCTGTAGTTCCAGCTACTCAAGAGGCTGAGGCAGGAGGATCACTAGAACCTAGGAGTTCCAGGCTGCAGTGAGCTATGATTGTGCCACTGCACTGTAGCCTGGATGACAGAGAGAGACCCTAAATCTTAAAATTAAACAAAAATTACAAAAAAGGTTGATGTTGGGATTCGATTCCTGACCCTGACAGGTCATGTGACATTGCATAATTCACCCCGCTTCTCTGAAGTCAGATGAGATTCCCCCGAAAATGTTCTGCATCAGAGCTAGTCATGGGTAAGCTCCACAGAGGCAGGCAGCTTCTGCCTCCTACCTGCCACCAGGTGTCTGGTTTCACCATTCTAATTTTAGTGAGGAAACGGGGGACGAAGAAGACATCTTTACTAGGGAACTTTCTGCTAAAGAGGGTTCCAGGGGAAGGAGCATTTCACACTTTAAAACTTGAACTATGAAACTTGGTCCTGACACCTAGAAGTAGGTACAGACAACAGATACTGGTGACAATCCTAGGGGAGGTCATCTAAGCTGGGTATAAATGAAAGGCAGAGAATGCTTGTGCAAGGCCCTCTTTTCTATCTGGGCCACAGAAACTGTCCTTGAACTTCTTACAGCACAGAGTCCATTCTTGTTTTAAAGACAGAGTATTTAAAAGAACAAAACAGGTTATGTTGAAAGGATTAACTTACTTGGGAATTTTTGTAGATGAAATCTAGCAAAGAAGTATTTTTTTTTATATATACCTTTCCACTATAAAGAACTGCAAAAAATAAAAATCTCTCAAGGCATCTGACATGAAAAAGTTTGTGAAACACGTCTTTTGTTAAGAATCACTTGGTTGGCACTTACATAGTACATACATAAGGGTCTATGACATGCTAGACCTTGTAAGGCTCTAAGAGCATAAGGGTGACCTCTCATCTCCTCCAACTGTTACATCCAACACATGTTACTTTCTCTAACCCCAGGGTGCTCACAGCAAATGGCCAAGGGAAGATTTTTTAAAGAATAAGCATTAGAAGGAAGAACCCAAAAGAAAAGCTTTAAAATGGAACCCTGTCTTTGTGTTCTATCACTGGTGAGCAAGTTACACTGGGAAACCATTCAGTTTTGTAGCCTCTCTGTTCAGGGCCTTCATTAAAACCCAGTGCTAAGAACTCAGCCCTAACACAAAGTGAGCTGTGACACAGATGATGACAATCTCTGCTGACCCAAGAGCCACGCCAGCTCCTAAGTAATCCCCATGTGCTTTGATACTGGGCTTACTCAGTTATATATCTTCAGGTTTCCCAAAGTCTAAGAGCATTTCACTGAAGTCAAAATTCAAGGCTACAAGGGATTTCCTACTAGGCAGTTTTCAAACATCATTTTTGCACATACAAGTTTTCATATGCTGCAATACTGAAAAATTGAAAATAATACTTTTTAAGTAATGTAAGTTTGGGCACATTCAATCAAAATATAAGGCAGCCATGAAAAAGGATTGTATAGATTTATATTCATTGACATGAAATGATATCTAGGAAATATTACTACAACAGCAGATTATAAAACAATATGTGTTGTTTTATAATTAAATGTTTATACAATGACATTTTAAAATTTTAAAGTATACACTATCACGTATGTAGGGAAAAGTTTAGAAGAATATTTATCAAGAGGCTAATGATGATCTATCTCTGGGTGGTGAGATGATGGATGATGTTATGTCTTGATCTTTTTTCTTTATTTTGATTTTTTAAATTTCTAAGATGACCATGTATGGCTTAAAAATAAAGAAGTAATAAATATCTTTAAAGAACCCTATACATTCTCTGTTGTTGAAAGTATTCTTACTTACGAACAATGTCTTCTCATTGTCAGGGAAAAAAAGATGATGTTAGCTCCCAATGAATGGTTTTTAATTCTTCTGTTTTGCTTCCCTTACACTACCAAATTTTCCTGAATATAAACCTTCTTTCCAGTAGAAGGATTTTATATCTGCAGAAGGCAACACCCTACACTCCCCTGTAGCACCTATACTCATATTATCTCTCCATATCACACCATCAATAACACTGAATTAGCATCAGAAGATCCAGATGCCAGCCAGCCGCAGAATTAGCTCTGTGACCGTAGGAAAGCCACTTAACATTGCCAATCTTTCTTTTTCATCTATCGGCAGCAAATGTTGGACGAAAGGAAAAATTAAATCAGGCAAGTGATGTGACAGTGCTTTCAAAATTATAAAACACTGTAAATGCTGATTGCTATTTGCACCATCGTTTTAGTATCTCCTCTGAGAAAAATATTTTCAGATATTTCTGTCACAATATTTAATGATGACTTTATCAGGAAACATTGTTAAAAGAATATTTATGTGAAGTGTTAATGAGGAGGCAGGTAAATGTAACAATCCCAAAAGTACAGGAATTTTTTACTGCACTCAAAATGGAACTGAACAGAGCCAGGCCACTGGGTCAAGTGGAGAAGAACACGGACCAACATGTGAGACAGACCTAGGTTCAAGACCCATTTCTGCTTCTTATGAGCTTTATAGTGTTAGAGAAATTATTTCATGACTCTAAACCTTACCTGTGAAATGTCAGTAACAACAGGATTGATGTTATGGTGGTTTTATGACGATTAAACAAGACAAAGCAGATAACATGCTTATATAATAGTTCCTGTCACATAGTAGGTACTTCATCTTTTTAAAGGACACCACTAACAATAAAGCCAAGATGTGCAACAATGACTCCAATTCCCACAGGAAAGAAAACAACCAAAAGAGACATCCAAAAAATTAAAGAAAATGCTGAGCATTTTTTCAGGTTAAAGAACTGTATTTCTAATAATTTGGTGTCTACATAATAACATATACCACATTGCTGAAAAACAAATATGGTCTTCCCAGAAATAATTTAAGACTGGTAAGCCCCTTACCAAAGACCATAGCCTGACACTGTCCCTGGATTCATCCTACCCATTACTCTTCTCAAAATTTGGTTGTTGGGGAAAAAAAAAAAAAAATACACACTGGTTACTATGGGAACAAGCAAGCCAAAGATAACATCCAGACAAAAGGGCTCTCACCTTCCTCTAACTACCCACAGCTCTTCTTTTTATCTCTCTTCTTATTGCATTTATCACTTTCTACCTTGTATTAGAGTCACCTGTGCAGGATCTGATCTCTCCGCCTACACGGTAAGCTCTTTGAGTGCAGAAATCGTGTCTTATTCATCTTTGGATTTTCAACAAAGCCTTGCACAAAGAAAGCAGTAAATAAGCAGTTTGTTGGGGGTGAGGGGAAAAGAACATGTACAAAAAAAAGCACTGCACAACTGAACACTGTGCCTACACTATTTAACCTTTGCGGGAAAAAATTAATGAAGGCTCCCAGCCACTTGACTAGTAAGAATTATGCAATTAACCCTATTTTACAGGATAGAGAACAGTTTAAGAATTTAATTCCTTCCGAATCATGATATGACAGAGTTAGAATTAGGGATACTAACACTAAAACAGAGGATCAATGTTGTTTCTAACAGAGTTTTCTTTATGAAATCATAATTTACTAAACTTATTGTTTAAAAATAGCTAACTATACCTTTTAATGGAGAAACTAAAATAATAAGTTGAATTAGGCAGCAACTGTCATCCTGAAGGAGTTTTGTTAAAATAAATATCCTATTCCAGAGATCATTTTTCCCCACAAGCAGGAAGCCACTGTGTTGATCCGGGGTCTACTGCTAGTAATACATAGTATCATTAAGTATTCTTCTAATTCATTTCGTAAATTCATGAATTTACAAAAAGTTAAATCCATTATGAACAAGTAAATGGGACATACCATACCAGCATATCTATGTATGACAATTGTCAGGGTGGCCGTCATTTACAGAAAAACTGTAAATGCAATCCACAGTAAAACTGTCAAAGCATTGAACACAAAGGAATTAACAATTTAACTAATAAGTTTATAATTTCTCTAAACCACTGAGCCTGATTCTAAGAAACACATGTTTTATGTCAAATACATGACTATTTTATGAAAAATATACTAATGGCAAAATACTTGTACAATGTTTGACTCAAACCAGAAACTGTATTACCATCTACTGACAGTATATAAATCACAAGAGGGGCCACTGGGTATTTTTCTCCCAAGATGTGCTTAGGTGGATTTCTTTATCTTGTACCTGACTTTATAATACTCAATTTTTTGATAGCATAGATGACATTACCACATACACACGCACAAGAGAACATTTGCAAAGGACATAAAAGAAAAAAAAAATCTACATTTTAACTATCTCCAGCATTTAACATTGAGACGTAAAGTCTAATCCTATTTCTCCAATATTACATATAACAGAGGTCAGTTTCAAAAGCAAAGTAAAGCAATAATATATATCTTTTCAAGGAAGAAATCACCCTTTTGCTTCCTCCATCTTTTGCCTATGATCACCAGAAATACATAAATAACGGAGAAATATACTACCTGTCGTCAATAATGTATGTCTTTTCTTACAGAATGTGACATTTTGAAAAGTACAATATTTCCCAGTTTCCTACTCACAGAACAAAGGTGAGGTTTATGGGGAGAGGGAGTGTGTGTGCAGTGAGGAAGGAAGCCATGTTCCTAGCAGGTAGGTCTATAAAATACTACATCAAAAACAAAGTCAGAGTAACCTTTCTAAGAGGTGTGGAGGGCAGCCACCCACATAGCATTAGTTAAGGACTGGTGAAAAGCCAGCTTGAACTGAAGTCTCCTACCCACCAGCCTGTAGAGCACAACACACATAAACGCCATGCCCTGATAACCTCGGGGGATAAAAAAGGCAAAACATACAGTTTTTATCAGGTACTCAGTACCTGATAGCCACACATCGTGTAGACCAGTGATTCACAAAGACAGACTGAGGGCATATATAAATACATACGTATGTGTACGTGTGCATGTGTAGATATATGTATGTCTACGTATATACATGCACATACGCATACACATGTATCAGAGTCTTGACACGGAGGTGGAAATAAATGAGCGTGGTGCAAAACAGGGCATGGATTTTAAAAAAGCTAATAAACACTAGCCAAGAACAACCTTCCAGTTTCCTGTCACACAGGCTGGTTTAGGAGATGGCTTGTTTGGGCCCAGAGCTGGTACAAAGGACCCAGAGTAAATTTCAGATGGGGAATGGGGTATGAAGAACTGTCTGACAAGGATCGATGCTGGCTGCCAGGTTTTGATACTCAAAAAGCTTGTAGCTTCGAAGGTTCTAAGAAAAGGAAGTCAGACCTCTGAGGGGTGCTGAGATGAGAGAAGAAGGCAGGGGACTGCTGCCTTGAACACAAGAGATCAGCAGATGGCAATTCTATGACTTGTATCTATTTATGACTTAACAACGTTTCTAAAGCTAGGGACCACGGCTATGCTCACAGAATCCTCCATCAATGTTTTAAATGCCGTGTTGCCATTTCAATTGTAATCACAGACACACACATACATTTGGATAATATCCATTTCAGGGACATTTTGAGTTCATAACCGATAACTTCAAGCGATCCCTGGTACAGCCTCTTAATCCTTCCACATTTCCCCAGAAAATTTATGTTCCTGCTCTCCTACACAATTATCTCTCCTCTCTTCTCAAACCTCTAACACCTTCTTCTCCTTCCTCACTCTCAACTGATACTCCTCATTTTACTGAGAAAATAGAGACAACAGAAGAAGACTTCCACACCCCTGCCACCAAATCTACAAACCTCCTTGCGCCTCTGCCTGCCTCCCCTGCCTGCCCTCCCCTTCTGGTGGCTGTACTGTCCCACAGGTGACCTCTCCATCCCCCTGCCTAAGGGACATCTACATGATGCCTGGGTATCATCCCTGCTCACCCATTTGAGGACATCAGTCTTGCAAAGTCCCCTCTCTCATGCAGTTTTTCTTTCTCTGTTGGATCATCATTCCTATTTGCTTTTGTAAAAAATCTTCATTTACCCCAGATTCTCACTGAGCAATCACTCCATTGCATTGCTGCTCCCTTAGCTCAAGAGTTTGTAGCAAGAGTTATCTGTACAAACAAGTTACCTATCCTTGTTACCCCATGTTCTATCTTGCCATTCTGTCTTGAATCCTGTTGGATCAGCCTTTTGTCCCCCTCACTCCACCGAAACAGTCTTGCCAAGGTCAAGAATGTGCTTCATTTTGCCCAATACAGTGGTGAATTCTTAGTTCTCACTGTACTTGATCTATCAATTGCAGCCAACGCAGCTTTCACGCCTTTCTCGGAACACTTCCTCCATTTGGTCTACTTCTACCTCACCAGCCTCTCCCTCTCAGTGGGTTGACTGCTTATCTATGCGCCACCTGTGAGAGTGTGCCAGCCTACTTCTCTCCTCCACCTTCACTTACTCCCTAGGTGATTCATCAGATTTCACAGCTGTAAATGCCAAATGCACCAGCAGTTCTCCAATTTTATCTCTAGCGCAGACATCTTTGAAATCATGCATCCAAATGCCTACATGACATCTCTACACAGATGTCTAACTGACAACTCAAACTTAACATGCCCCAAACTAAATTCCTGATTTCCCCCTCACCCCCAACCTACAACCCCAACTCTCTTGCCCATTGTAGGAAATAGTGACTCCATTCTTCCATATTATCAGGAAAAACCCCTGAGTAATCTTTGAGTTTCTTCTCTCCAACCCAGAATCCAATAAATGGTTGGATTCCCCTCAACCCAGTATCCAATAAGTGCTCACTACCTCGCTGTCCTCATTCTGGTCCAGGTCACATCACCACTCACTGTATCGCTGCAACAGCCCATGCCAAGGGACTTTCGCTGCCACCCGGATGGTCTGTGTACAGTTTACTGTCCCTAAAGCAATTGCTCTTCTTAAAACTTAACTCAGATTATATCATTCCTCTGCTCACAGGCGTCGGTGGTATCCCACCCTCTAACAGTGAAATCCAGTCTTCACTGCAGACTCCACAGCCCTGTGCCATTTGGCCCTGCTACATCTCTGAGCCCGTCACCTTCCTTTCTGCCCACACTGCTTTCCTGGCTGTTTCTGTGATTGCTTATAACAGGCTTCCTGCTCAGAACCTTTGTGCTGCTGCTCACTCCACCCCATGGCTTCATTCCTCACTTCCACTAGGCATCTGGCTGCTCAAATATCACTTGATTTAGAGAGGCCTTCAGTGGCATTCCAAGATGGCCCCAATATCCCCGTCCCCTGATGCATGTGCTCTGCGTGATCCTCTCCCCTTGAGTATGAACAGGACCTGCAGATACGATGGGATGTTAGTTACTCCTTTGATTAACTTATGCTGTGTGGCAAAGGTGAAGGGATTTTACAGACATGAATTAAGGTTCCAAATCAGCTGACTTTGAGTTCATCAAAAAAAGAGATTATCCCAGGTGAGACTGGCTTAGGTTAAAAAAAACCAAAAACCCTTTAACAGGACTGAGGCCTTAGAGGGCAGGGGAGATCTCCTGCTGCTCCTGAAAAGGCCAACAGCCACGCTGTGAACTGTCTGTGGAAAGGAGTGGCCTGTGGGAGCTGAAGGCCTCACTTCACAACTGCAAGGAACTACATTCTGCCAGCAACACAAATAAGCTCAGGAGAGGACCATGAGCTCCAGGTGAGCTCGCTTCAATCTCAGCCTAGTGAGACACTGAGCGGAGAACCCAGTAAACTGTGGCCAGACTTCCAATCTACAGACACTGCAAGATAATAAATGGGTGGTGCTTTAAGTCACTACGTTTGTGGTAACTTTTTACACAGCAATAGAAAACTAATACATCTTCCATAATACAGAATAACATCCCCCTTACTTTCTACCCTCCTGATGTAGCTTCTCCTTCAGAGAACTTGGTATAGCGTTCACATATGTAGTTTACATACTTGAATTGCTCCTCTCCCTGGCTCTTGAATGTGAGCTCCTTTAGGGTAAGAAGTTTGCCTTTTCCTGTGGTGCTGCTACACCACAGCACCTAGAACAGTGCCGTGCACACACTAGGTGCTCAATGAACATTTGTAGAATGAATGAATGTATTTACTGTACACATTTACTTTAGCACACAGTGATCACAAAAATGCAGTAGCATTTAACTTATAACTTTCAAAGGCTCTTTCTCAAGGTGAAGTACAAAGACATCCATCCCTCTTCTGTCCTAGTCCAACAATATATTCTGAGAGATCCACGAGTTCACAAATATGAAAAGCAATAAGTTAACAAATAGCTTATAGTTATTTAGAAAAAGAAGGATACCAACTGCTATGGACTGAATTGTGACCTCCCCAACCCCAGATTCATATGTGGAAGCCCTAACCATTAATGTGATGGTATTTAGAGGTGGGGCCCCTGGGAGGTAATTATGTTTAGATGATGTCATGAGGGTGGGACCCGAGAGACACCAAAAAGCTTGCTCTAGCTCTCCACCATGTGAGGACACAATAGGAAGACAGCCACCACAAACCAATGATGCTGAAACCCTGGTCCTAGACTGCCAGCCTCCAAAACTATGAGAAAATAAATTTCTGTTGTTTCAGTCACCCAGTCCATGGTTCCTTCTTACGGCAGCCTGAGCAGACTAAGACACCAATAATTAGGCATAAACATGTGTTCACTGAATAAGTCACACTAAAATTCATTTCTATTATTTGAAAGTGTTTCTAAGTGGTTAGATTCAGGAAAACGCCATTAATGTAGTATGTCTTAATTTCAGCAACACATTTAATAGATCCCTTTACGATATCTTTCTGAACAGTCAGTTGGATATCCACTAAAAAGCAGTGGAAACAATTGGATTTGTTTCTGGTTGAACAATCGTGCCAAAGAATGCTAGTTAATTATCGTAAGCCACTCAGAAAGTGAGTGGTTTCTAACAGATGCCAGAACACTCCCTCCTCCCTTAAACTACTGAACACCTTAATCAATGTTTTGGATAAAGATTAAAAGACAGGTCCATTAGATTGGTAAGTGACATATTTCCAAACATTGTAACTAATATAAAACATTGACAATCATGATTGAAATACATGGTGGGCAAGAAATGAGTCAAAATCAACAGGTTAATTATTATAGTGATATGGATGTCATACCTAGAATTTTAAAACATGAGTTGCAGTTCAGAATTAGGCTTGGTAGCCCTTCAAATGGAAAAAACAAAATCAGCTGTTTCGTTTGACTGCTGAGTCATGCTGAGCTTGTCACCAACGTGCATGGACATTTCAAAAGGCAATGAAAACATGGGCTGATTTAGGAGAAATAAAGAGTGTGAACTGCACAAATCACATGATCTTACTTCTGTATTCCAGCTTGCTCAGACCACACCTAGAGTCCTATATTTAAATATGGGTGACACATCCAAAAGAGACAAGGTTAAAACTGGGAAATAACTGCATTAAAAGAGTTCTCAGGTCAAATAGGTTTTATATAAAACAAAGCCAAACAAATTTCTTTCCCGAAGAACTTCTCAGAACACTTGGTATGTTAATATTCCTTGTAATTTCCAAAAAAGGTTTATATGTATATGTGTGTGTGTACAGAGAGATGGGTAATATGCATTGCTTCTTAACTAATTTGAACATTAGACCCTTTCTTCGTGGGGCATCTTGTAGGACTAGTGATCTAAGCCATAAACCTATGAAAACAACAACCTAGACCCATGAGAGAAAACGTAATAAAAGCAGATGCAGGCTAAATGTTAGTAACAGTGAGCAACCAGGATTACGAGGGCGATATAGAAACTGTATTTATGAAAAGCAAGGCTAAAGATACTTACATTATTTTTTCTAGGAAAATAAAACAACTAGCCTTGCAAATACACAAATGGTTCTAATAAAAATAGGGGAATGCATTCGCTTTTCTATTGCTCTAGTACCTACAGCAAAACAGTACCTGGAGGTAAGGCTCAGGAACAGGTATTTTGACACATTCTCCAGAGAACCCACTTTCTCTAAGGGGCAGAATCGGAGCCCATGGAAGCCCCAGAATAGGAAGGTCGGTTGAAGCTTCAGAAGGAAGAACTACCTAACAATTAAAGCTTTTCAGTGTCAAAGCAGTTTTAGTATGCACAGAGGCTAGGTAAACATCCAGCAGGGACACTAAAGAAAAGATTCCTGCACAAATAAAGTAGAAGATCGGATTGTTGGATTCTAGAGGTCACTGCCAGCACTGCATACGCAGGGAGTGAGACGGCAACCTCTGTAGTCCCGCTCACCACTGCACTTCGATGACAAACACTGAGCCTGGCACAGAACAGGTTCCTCATAAATACTGGCTGAATGAATGAATAACTGAACAAGTAAAAAATAAATGAAAAAAGTACATGGTTCCAAAGTCAAACAAAAAGGGCTATTTCATTCTTTGGCAATTTCTACATTCGCTAATTGTTAATAATAATCATGGCTTCTTTCAAACACAAGGAAAATAACCTGGTAATAATTTCCCTTCTTGACTGGGAAATCAACTCTGAATTAAATTGCACCAAGGGTTATTGTGAGGTTCCCCTGACAAGTATGTGAAAACGCACTGCCAACTATAAATGACCATCAGAAGGAGTGATTATGGCAACGATAATCTACTCTGATGGACTATGAGAACTCACAGGGCTGGAAACCAACCTTGAGAATGAATGTGCCTTTTATAACTACAACTCTGAAAATGTCTAGTAACCATGTGCTTTGTTTAATTGTCAGAAGAACATATGTATAACTTCTTCTAAAACACCTTCAAAAATGTGATGGTATTCTGATTGACCTGGTCAATTAGGCTGTTTACAATTAAGTTTAAATAATTTTCATTTGTCTTGAGATACCAAATTCTTAACAAAAGGTATGACAACGATGGACCCTTAAATTAAAAAATCCTCAAAATAGAAACAGCGTTCATTCACAAGACTACAGACAAAGACTGTAGTCAGGCAATATGTTTGTATCCATTTCCTAGAAGACTGAGAGTTCTTTCAAAATATATCTGTCATTTCTCCACAGTGGCTGATCAAACTTGCCACTGAAAAATGTTCTAAACAGGCAACTTGTAGTACAAGCATGGTTTATTCCTGTCAGAGACTGACTGCTGAAGTGTGAAAGAAACTCATTAAAAATCTCTTACTGTGATCTTACATTGTAAAAGAGACAAAAAGAAAAAGAAACGGAAAAAACAAGAAAGAAAAGGCAAAGAAAAAAACTTAATGAAAGGTACACTGAGCCTGCAGACACACTCATACAGTGCTTTTCTTTCTTATTCTCCTTTAGCAAGCAATTAGAAGAGCGCAATTAGTCCTGGGAATACAGCACACACTGGTTGTTCAGGGAAATCAAATAAGTTAACAATTTTATTTTATGCTAATATTATGAAAAGTTAATGAAGGAGATCAGAATATTGTACCATAAGAAAAACAATCCAGAATAAACAGTATTATTTACCTTAATCTTAAAACGAGGTTTACGGCGCAAGAAGCTTCTCTGTAGTCTTCACTAGCATTGGGTTTGCCCTTTAAAAACAAAACAACGAACAGTGAGTGTTAAAAACTTTCACAGGAAAGGATCGAATGAAGTCACGATATCCCTTGATTCATACAGCCCTTTCTGGAAATTTCAAAACCAGATCTTTACACACACAGGTTGGCCTCATAACACTTCTGTGAGAAGGTTGGAAAGATGCCTAACTCCCATCACAACTGTGGATATGACTGTCTCACACAGAAAGCCTCAGTCACAGGATAAGCATTATGAATAACTGGCATAAGCTGTCGTGAGTCCAAAGAGGGTCAGCCATCTAAAGTGGCACCTCGCCACCCGAGCCCTGGGCTGTTACCTGTTGGCCCTGGTAATACACAAAGATTTGGGCACCATAAATCTTAAAAGTGCAGAGGAAGGTGGTACCCAGCAGATTAAGCCACTGTTTGTCTTTCCTGCCTTTCTCACCTAGATCTATTTCCTTAAATATAGATTATTAACCTTGCATGCCTCTACTACACAGCCCCTCCCTATTCCTACAAATCCCTAGGCACGAGCAGACCTCCTTGCTGGAGTAGAAAAAACAAGGCATTTCAGGTCAAGGGTTGGCTCTGCCCCTGCCCAGATGGAACCATGAGCTAGTCATCCCCTGAACCTATTTTCCCATTTACAAAATGGGGATAACACCTGTCTCAAGAGGTTGCTGGAAGAATACGATAATACATATGAAAGTGAGTCATAAACTATAAAATGTTATGCAGTACCGGTTATCCTAATCCCTTTTCCTGTTTCCTTTACTCTCTTTGCCTGCTGACCCATTATTATTCTAAACTGGCATACTATTCTTAACTTTGCCTTAACATGCAACCAATCCCTACAGCTTATCTCAAAGTCTCTCACTGAGTTGCCTGATCCAGTGTAAAGACCTAAACTGAATCCTGGCTAAGCCTCTGACCAGTGGTGTGACCTTGGGCAGGCACCTAACCTCTGCAAGTCTTTGCTTCCTCAGCTATAAAATAAGGGCTAGGGATGAGCTATCTACTAGTCTATCAAATAGGCTTCCTGCAACCACGAAATCCTATCACTCTAACCATCTCTCCGATATGCAGCTGTTGCATAAAACACAGATCAGATGAAACAGAAATGAATTTAACTGGAATATGCAGATTTTGAAAAAAAAAATTATGATCCTAAGGCTGGTGATGTTTTCTAGCATAACCACTCAGAGAACAAAAGGGCTTGCCTATGAATTATACAGCAAAACAAGAATGTGGGCCTGCACTCTGCTTCTATGTCCACACTCTTTCCCCTGGATGGCTCAACATCCTTTATCACCACCCAACATGACTCACAGCACAGGTCTTCTGTCATATAACTTTTATAAATATGCATTATAAATGCATTGCACAGTCACTGGACTATTATTTTTACAAGGCAAGTTACAGAGACGAATTGGTCCATAATGTTCAATGATAAAAGAATTACGAAAACAGGTTATAGAAATCCAACTGGGAGCAAAAAAGAAACACATCAATTAACCACAGTGTTTTGTGGCTGGAATATAATAGGATGGTGAGTCATTTTCTCTCCTTTTCTTCTCTTCCCCAGTACCAGCAATTTCAGAAGCAGTGGAGTAATCAGTTCTCACTCTTGAACCTATCATTCAAAGGTTGGAGGTCCCACAAAGCATGGTCAACAGCAACCTATTAAAAAAGGGAGCTTAAAAGCCCCTGATTTGGAAGCACTACCCTGAAATTGTCTTTCTAAAATATTGATTTTTCTAAAGATCTGTCTTCAGAAATGCATCTCAAACGGAAAGACTGACCGAGAAACATACCTGAGAGTCATGCACAGAGAGGGACTGTATTTGCTCGGGGATACTGCTGGCATTCACTGCAATCTGTTAAAGAGAACCACCATTACAGAACTCAAGAAAGCCAAAAGGAGACATGGCCAGTGTAGTTACATTAAGTCCCAATTATCAGAGACAATAATTTTCAAAAGTTCTTAAAGCAGTATTCCCAAGTAGGCGTTTGACTACCCGCCTTGGAATCACCTAGGACAAGTGTTAAAAACCCATGGACCCCACCCCCAGCCTATGATTCAGAATTTCATGGAGATGGGAAAAAAATCTGTACCTTTAACAAGTTCTCCAGGTGACCTTTATGCTTTTAGAGTAGTACTGAGCTAAAGTGAAAAGGCATGGACTATTTGATATTTTAAGCCTGATAACAGAAAGATGTGCTATAACAATATTGTCTTGTACAATTTCATCTAAAGTTAAGGGACACTTAATGAAAGGAGGTTAGGGTTAGTAAAACCTGCCCCTTTAATCATTACTTTGAGCAACTATTCACTGTATTTCAAAAATATATAAGGGTAGTTAGATTTTTAAAAGACATTTTCCCCAACAGAAATTCAAGCAATAGGTTTTATTTTTCCCTCAAAGTTGGAAACTCGGCTCTAAGGTGACACTCAAATTATCTTTGCCTCAAGCCTTACTTTTCTGAACTCTGCCCTGGAGCAAAACTTGAAAGACAAAAATGGAAAGACAAAAACTTGAAGAGAAACAGCAATGAAAATGATAAGGAACAAAAAGGACCTTCAATTTCTAAACTATCAATTCTAAAACAACCAGAAATTATCAGATATTCTTTGTGTCAAGAGTTTTCTAAAGTTTAAGAGCATAAAATTCTTACTCTCTGTGCTTCCTCAAAAATACCGATGTTAGTCCTGAAGTAATAGGGAGAAGTATACTGATGTCTGCAATTTATGTTGAAATGCATCAAAAACTATGGAGAACTTAAGCATGAACAGATACATATATATGTGATGGAGGAAGTACAATGATAGCAGGACCTAGGTGTCAGGTGTATGGTGTTCACTATAAAATGTTTTAATGTTGCTGTATGTCTGAAAATTTTCATAATAAAATGTTAGGAGAAAATGACTATATTGGAAGAACAAACAACTTACATTCATTAACCAGCCAGAGGGCCTGGGCCTACAGCAAATGATCTTTTGTAAAGAATCTTTCAGGGTGATTCCATAATCTTAGCTTAAATTTGAGATACAACCAAAGGCCACACCAGCACTTACAGCATAGTCTACCCTTTAGTTAAAGAAACACTGCAATCTGAAGCACTTTAATTGGCATTTACTTACAGGTGACAAACTTCTCCTTCCCCTGGGAAGACCCCATATCCTGCCCTGCTGGAATCATCAGGATGGAGAGCCAGTCAAATAGGCCGGGGTCTGGACCCCAAGCACACCCTGCAACCTCACTGCGTAGGTGTAACCCTCAACATAATGAAGGGACCAGCCTCTGCTCTCACTGGTGTACAGCAAGGTGATGATTCCTCAGAAAATGTGCAGAGACGCACAGGAGTGCTGGAGAGGGAGGCCTTGGTGCAAAACATCTTCCTGACAAACCGCTGTAGTCCTCCAAATGTCACCACTGTGGACCCATTCTATGGGATTAGGGCATGGCCTTTTGGCCTACTCTCTTAAATGTAAAAGTTTAGAAGAAAGCTAACACATTAAGCAGATGTCAATTTATCAGATTTTTTCCCCCTGTTAAACAGTTTGCTCTAAGACACGCATTTGAGAGAATGAGTGTTTTGATAGGAAGGGGAGAGGAAAATAATAGATTACTGTGGAACACTGCCGTGGAAATAGACCTCGATGGAGATCTGGGACAGGGTGAAAAAGAGGACAAGACCTAGAAATGCAGAAAAGAAAGGGATGTCTGCTTTTCAATTTTTCATAGAACGCTGCCTAACCATCTCATTTTCTATTTTTAAAAATACTGTAGTCAAATGCAATGTGTTATCCTAGATTGGATCCTGGCAAAGAGAAAGGCTATTAGTGGACAAACTAGTGACATCCAGATAAATTCTGGGGTTTAGTTAATAGCAACATAGCAGTGCTGGCTTCTGAGTTATAACAAATGTGCCAGGGTTACATAAGAAATCAACAGTGGGAAAATCAGGTGAGGAGTATATGGGAACTCTGTACTGTCTCTGCAACACTTCTGTAAATCTAAAATCATTCCAAAATAAAAAGTTCACTTTCAGAAATACAGCAGATTTCTGATCCCAAATCTAATTTTCATTATAACTACTCAGAAGGCCAGTTACCTGCAATAACAACACCTTTTAGAAAGTGGTATCATAGAAGCAGCAAGTTAAAGCAGTCTGATAACTAAGGTTAACCATAATATTAATCAATTTAGAGGGAGAAATCAAATCTTTCTCTCCATCTACATGTGGATATAAAACAAACACCTATGAGAGATGACAGGCCTTTGGACAACATGCTTTCACAGAAATAAATTTAAAAATCTAACAGTAGTCTTAAAAATCATTAGGCAATAGAGGTGAGTAATAAAAACAAAAAATTTAGTTTTCACATTGTTTCTAACCTCTAATAAAATTAACTCAATTTAAATCTGTATCAAATGTATTTTCTTCTCAGAACAAAATCCCAGAGTTGGGAAACAGAAACATTTTCCTAATTAACCTAGTCTAGATTCTTGATAACAAAACCCTTCAATACACCTCCAGTGGGCCCTTCTGGGCTTCAGTCAAAAAACCTTCCCATCTGCTTCATTATACTTAATTAAATAAGGACAACTTTCCTAAGGGATTTCTGAAATGTTTTCTTTTTTTCTTTCTGGTTTTTTTTTGGGGGGAGGAGGCAATTTCTGATAGATATTTAAAACAAATCTTCAGGAATTCTGATTCCACAGTCCACCATCTTCCCAGATTTCAATCTGGACTTCTGGATTCAGGGCAATTTGTGCAGCTTTCCTAGTCAGTCCTCAATTCTACCCATGAATCAGAATCACGTGAGCAGCTTTTTTGAAAATCAGAGCTGTATGGACATCACCCCAAACCATCAAATCAGAACCTGTAGGTTGAGTCTAGGCATCTGCATTTTTAAAGACTGCAGATTTTACGACGTGGAGCCGGGGTTGCGAACCATTTATTTGCATGCCACCTAACTGAAATGCTGCCATGAAAAAGAAAGTCGCTTTAATAGAAGGCTTAGCAAATGTTCTCCTCGATTAAGTCAAACCAAATAAAACTAAAAATTTAAAGATAAAGTCAATTTGCTTTTTATATGGAAAATTAGAGTATGATGCAAAATAGACAAAACGTCACAAAACCTATTATTTTAGAGTCTGACAAAAGAGATTCCAAAACCAGTGGTCAAAAGAAGACCGCTAATGGGATAAAAGTTGAGAAGTTTTATGTAAGGTAAGAATCTACACAAGCCAGGAAACATTACCTAAGGAAGCTGGTCCTTGCCAGTGCCATCCCTTCCCCATACCCGCCCCCCGCCAGATGAAAATGGTCCAGCTAGCAGACTCTCTGCTTTGCTTTTATAAAATTCCCACAGTGCCTACCCCAGTTCCACACAGAAATCAGCACAGCTTAAATATTTGTTCAATTAATTAACTTTCTTATTAATATTAGTGTTATTATTATTAACCTTTGGTCTCCACCTGGCTTCTACCAACCAAGTGAACAGGATGATAAATAAATGAAATCAGGATGAATTATCAACCTGTTATAAATTATTAATTACTAGTGGGTGACTAATACTTCGCAAGGCTATTTCTAAAATATCAGGTTAGAGACATAGGACCAATTTTTCAACGTTGACGGCAATGAATCTCAAACTGGCTATGAAGCTCAAGATAAGTGGTGTAACTTTGAAACCTCACAGTTTACACTGGAAATTCTCTTGGATTTAGGAGGATCTCCAAATATGGTCCAAGGTGAGGCAGACCTTCCCAATGTCCCTCTGACAAACAGCCCCCTCTGGTCTTCTCAATCTTTCCCAACTGATGCTGTAGTACTTGGACATTCTACCTCATAATTCCTAGGAGGCCAAATAGCCCCTTGCAAATTAACCATTCCTGAAATACCCCTCCATTTATTGCAACATCTTACTCTGTCTAAACATGGTACTACTAAGGCTACCTTTTCTGAACTTCACCTCAATTATAGTCTTCTGATCTTTATCCCCGCTTCCGACCCTCTCATAAATACTGTATGCCTATTCAAGCACTTGTTTAATGTTTGCACTTCAATACAGAGGTATTCGTGTCATTAACAAATATGTATAGAGTGTCTACTGGATGCAAAGGGAACATGAATAAAATATCATCTCAGTCTTCTAGTGGCTTATACTCAAAAAACAACTGTGATTTAAATGACAAGCATTATTGAAAAGCTCATTAAAATGTAAATTCTCTGGCATTTAAATGTGTCATTTGGCATGGATAAGCATTTTCATTCTCAAAGATACTTAAAGGTATATGGTACGCTGTCAGAGGCTATATACATTGGCACAGCTACTGATAGCAAGAGCAAAAATTCAAAATCAGCAGACACTTCAACAAAGCAATCACAATTCTAAATCTCTACTTTACTTGTCTATGTGTCCACCAGAATGCATACACGAGAAAGTTAATGGAATGATGTACGTTATAGCAATCTAAATGCTCACCAAGAAGGAAACGTTTAAATAAACCATTTCCATCCACCCCATGCAATACTACGCAATAGTTTAAAATAAAGAGGCAGATCTAGAATATCTAATGTGAAAAGATTTTCAAAACAATAAATTGCAAAAATATTTATAGTTTTCATAATTTCATTCATGTTTCTAAAAATGATATAGTAGATTTCTTTATGTACATATTTGTATGGAAACAAACAGAAAACAGTCTGGAAGAAAACACTGTAAACTGATAACCTCTATTCCCAGTGGTTGGGGGGAGCAGGATAAAAATGATCTTTCAGTTTTTATTCTATTTAATTCTCCTGTATGATTTCAAGTGCTTATTCTATGTTTCTTCTCAATAAGGCCCATCCTGACCAACCTGTCTAAAATTACAACCTCCTACCACATTCCCTACACCCTTACCACATTATACTTTTTTTCCTATTGCTCCTATTCCATTGTTAAGAATCACATAATTTATGAATACTTACTTATCAAAGCCATTATATATTGTTTATATACTCCCATTAAAATGTAAACTCCACAAGGACAGGAATTTTTCCTCTCTTTTTCTCACTGGTATAGCTCCAAAACCTACTAAAACAGTGTGCGTAGCAGGCACATAACATATATTTGTTGAATATTTAGGTATTTGACATTTATTTATTTCCTTTATAACAGATAAATACTTCAATCTTTGCTTAGTAAAGCAGTCTGGGGTAGTTGGCAAATCAGAGGGCTACTTTAATTAAAAGCTGAAAGGACACACGAACCATCACTGTAGCTTCTGTTAACACAGCTCAGGACACTCAAATGCCAATGCTGTTGAAAGGAAAGAGTGTCAAAATACTGTCCTGAGAAGCTGTGCAATAGCAGGGGGGCTGGTTACTTCTAAAATCTGGTGGAAGTGTTTCCATGCAAACACGTGTATCTTTTCACAGAAATAAGAAGCCTATTTATATGCTTCCTTAATTATAAACCAATATGGAAACAGACATACGCCACTGGGAAATCAAATAAGTCTAGCTGCAGTAAAGTGCCTGTGACTTTCAAATCCCACTCAAGAAGGTCGATAGCGAGGCTTGAGGATCAGTTCACAGCATGCCATACATTATTCCCTCTTCTGTCTATGGAGAAAACACTCTTGCCAAAAAGATACTGCTGTTATCCAAATAACAAATCAGTTATCAGAGCAATTTCACCAAGCACATAGTAAGACAGTATGTTAACAAATCTTCAGGAGGAAAGACCCACACCCAACAGTCTATGCTAGCAAGGCAGGATCCCATGAACATTACCCAGTGACAGTGTCTTATAATGAACCAGTAACAAGTGATTTATGCGTCCATGATGCTACTTGAACCATGTCATTTTGTTCTATCTCTAAGCAGAACTGACATTTTTAGTTAGGGATAACTCTTAGAAATAGATGAAAAACCTGGACTCTGCACCCTGGATAAAATGGGATAGTGGGCAAGGACAGGGTAGAATTCATGAAACCTGGTTAAGATCATTCTAAAAGTCCGGCACAACATCTGTGCGGCCAGTGTGGCCCACTGTGGGGCTTGTCACCATTGCTCCTGACACAGGGGAATGACATCCTTGATCAAAGCTCATGTTTATGTATGAAACGGAGAGATGAATTCATACGATAAACACAGGAGAAAACAGACTCTGAAGGAGAGCTACCATCGGGAGGCAGGCAGACTGAAAAATCCCTGGGAAAGGCCTATCCGTGTGGCATGAAAGGTGCAGAGAGAAGGGAGGGAGGAAAGAGGGGAGGAGGAAGAATGGCTCGCAGCTCTGCCGCCCTCCTCCTTACAGGGCCCAGCTGGCTACTGTCACTTAAAACAGAATGATAAGATTCACTCCATTAAATCAAAAGGAAATGTCTGCTAATTAAAAAAAGTTGGGACGAGTATCATTTGTAGCCCAAAGTTTTCTGTTTTCTTAATGAGAATTTATCAAGGTACACATTAATTACTAGGTCTGTAAAATATTTGGGGCTATTTAAATATGCTCAAATTTCCTCTAGGAGAATTAGCAAGTCTTGTGAACTCCGGCCATCATTAGTCATTAGGCATTAGGATAATTAATCAGATGGAGGAAGTAAATCAAAAATGATTTCTTAATCAAAAAAATGACCATTCCTCAAAGGGAAGCTGTTATAAGAGTGCTCCTGGTCTACTAAGTTACTCGGAAGGTTTAAAAACCAAGACCAACAGATTCAACCTAGAGTTTCTTACCATTTAATAATATCTGCTTTGTCACAGACTAAAAACCCAGAGGAAATTTTGCCTGTATGCTTACTATGTTTTCTAAATGACAGTAATACTAAGAGTTAAAATTCATTGATTACCTAGTCTGTAACAAGGACTCTACAGAGTGTTTTATGGACATGACTTCATCGGTCTTCATGGCAACTTTATAAGTACTGTGATCATCCCCGTAGAATCAAGACCTGGAAAATTTATGTGCTTTTCCTTTTTTTTCCCTACTCCATGAGATTCTGAAGTGTCTCCCCCAGGTATTTGAGACTCAGATACCCCAAGAAGGGAATGAAGTGGCAAATAAAAATCAATAACCACAGCTCACCTCTGGATTTTCTTCTTTTACTCTTCGTGACTGTAAAACAATTGTGAATCCATTAATACATACACACACACACAAAAATCCCACAGAAGTAAAATTGACACTGATTAGCTAATCATCATAAACATCATTTACCTTTTCTTGAGAAAAAGCGGCTTTCCCTTCTTCACTTTTTTCATCCATCTCGTCGTCACTCCACTCCCAGTCACCGTCTTCAGTTTTATGAAGGTGACCGCTTGACCCAGGAACTCTTCTTACCTGAATCAAAGCAAGCCCACACAATTCTTCACCAGTCGCATGTGAACAGTGTTCGCTGATGCTGCGACTTGGGTTACGCAGTACACACACTACCCTGAAAGTAACCTGAGTGGCTGTGAACCCAGGGGTAATTAGAGGTTAACAGCCTGAAAGACTACATAGCCTCCAGTCTCTGACACTCACCCTCTATCCAAAAATAGTGTTCCTGAAGTGCATTACGATGTATGTGTAGAGCAAAATGTTTTGGAAGAACACCACACACATAAGCTGTTAAGGATCAAGCTCGTTTTTCATTTTTACTTCAGTTAACACTACTAGTTAAAAGGCCATGTGGTAGGCTTCGAAACTGCCTAAGGAAGTGCACACAAGCAACTTCCTGCTGACTGAGCAAAGCTGGGGAAATCAGGAAGCCCACTGAAGCCTTCCACACTAGGGGTACCAGCGATCTAAAACCCAGGTCGACAAAGCAAATACCCTTCTGTTGCCTCCTTGTTCTTTTTCAGAAACTGACATTATGCTTGTTTTCCCAGGATTTTGTTCACCCTAAAAAATCAGACTACTCTTCACACACTTTGTAGCATTTATGAGACGTGTGAGATTGCTAGGAACACAGCTTGGTAAAGCAGCAGCCGTGCCAGTGTTTAGATGATAATCAGTCTTCAACAATTATTTCAAATTGTTTTGAGTGAGGGTAGAGATGTAGTCCATAGGGCACGCTTTCCAAAAGTCTTTGTGGTTAGAAAAGCAAAATTTTAAAAGGACAGGATGACTGAGAATGAACCTCTGGCCAGAGTCATTTGCCTTAAAGAGATGCGCTCAGACACATTAAACAAAGCACTGTAGCAGGTGAACATGACGTGAACATAACAGCCAGTGTCCGATGATTCAGAGAAACTTCGAGTGGAAAGGGAGCTTCCAGACAATCTAGTCCAACCCCTTCACTTTACAGATGAGGAGAGGAAGGCCCAGAAAGTGGCCCAAGATCACAAAGCTCTGAGAGCACCATCAAGGCAAGAAGCAAATCCTTCGGGCTCCCATTCAAATATAAGCCTCTTTATGCCATTGAATAACCGTCAGAAAGAAGTTGTCTAAAAATGTCCTGTGAAGACTTGGAAACACTATGATGTTAAAGAAAGACTATTTTCTCTAATAGACAGTATTTATTTATATCACAGGAGCATCATTTAACCCAAGGGCAATGCCACAGAACTTAAACTTAGGTATTTATACATGTCAGGTCAATGTGAAGTCATAAACTGTGCTTGCCAGGGGTTGGGGTTGATTTGAGGGCATTACCGTACAGAACCTGTAAAAGTAATCGTGATCACTTGATCTAGAAGATTTGAAGATTTGAACACCAACGAAGAAAGTTAAAAAGCAAGTAAAAGATTCTTATTCGTAATTGCAAACAGTTATGCTCAATTTTTTTTTTAAAAAAAAAAAAAAAAGCTTTTTTCTCCACTCCAAAAAAATATTTTTTAACCAATTCATCTTTGAAACACTTGGTACTCAGTAAAAACCCTCTCTGTTTGGCATAAGATATTTTTCTTACTTGCATTTTGAGTTGTTGTAAAAAACCTATTCAAATGATTGTGATTTTAATGGTGCTTATAGATGCTGGCTAAGTACTGTAGAAAAAATGCTGAAATGCACTTCAGGATTTTCAGAACAGATTGCTCGTTTTATAGCTACAAAGAAATGGCTAAGGAAAGAGAAAATAATTTTCTGTTGACATATACAATAAAATTAATTATTTTCTTAGCAACACTAATCATGGTGACAGCAACATGGCGGGACATACCTTAATGACTGCATTTAAAGGAAAGAATTTACAGCCACATCTATTATAAAACATATTATTAACTAAGAAGGGAGAAAACAAGTAAAATTACGTATCAGAAACAGAATAAAACTCTACCTTTACTAAAACTGTAGAAATCAAGGGTTGCTGATGAATTGGTATTCTTCAAGTACCCACCCAAGAGATTACACCAAGGAAATCTCTCTTTCCAGAGAGAATCCCGCTTTATACCCTAAAATTTAGTTTATGCCCTTTCCTGCCTCTGGTTCTATATTTACAAGATGTCAGTTTCATTCCCACAAGCAGGATCCAACTATAAATAATAAAATGGCCATTCTCTTCCATTTTTATTTTATTTTAGAACCTAGCTGTCTCCTTCCTAGTTTTATTTGCTAGAAGAGAGAAAAATAAAACAAAATATCCAGGATTATAGCTCCAAACATTCAAAGAAATGGTGTGATGAGCCTTAAAGCAATAAATATTGGTTAAACAGGTTAAACAAATAAGGATAAATGACCGAATTAAGACAAAGAACACTCAAACATCTATGCAGGGAAAAATATTGGTGTAATAGTCACAAGAATGAGAATACAAGTTTGTCTTTGAGAATGTCCCCTCAGCTTATTCCTAGGAATAAACTTGAAGCATAATTTGAAACCAAGGGTTTCATGGTATTTTTATGTGACATTGACTCCTACTGAAGAGACCAGAAATCAATTTTACAAAGTTACATCCTTGTAGGGATTTTGTAGGGATGACAAGAAACAACCTTTACCTTTCAGAGCCAACTAAGTTTCCCACAGTTTAGCAAATCATCTTCTTTTTAGGAACTGAAGAACACTTTGCAGAGTAAAAACTTAAAAAGAAAAAAAAAAAAACTTGTGTAAAAGCTTCTATCTGCCCCCCAACCCCTACAATGATGAGAATGTGTATTACCCTTAGAATTCTAATTGTAGTAACTATTACATTCCTCTTATTCTAGTAAATGATTTGCTCACTTAGTAAAGCCAAGAGGTGGTAGAATGAATTTATTCTCTATTTTATCTGTCAGGAGTTTAAAAAAAAAAAGTCCCTGGCTTCTCTGAGAAATAAGCTAAATTTAAGGGATATCTAGAGGAATTCATAATCTCACAAATCCCTTGGGTCATAGTCGGCAATAGTGAGGTTAGAAAAGGTTTTACATGCAGTAACATCTATTCCCAAGACTGGGAATAAAATACAATTAAGCAGTTGGTATTTATACCATACATGAAAAGGAAAGTAATTTTTTCTTCCCTTTCTCTAAACGGCACCTTTATGAAAATCCATTAAAGAAATGAACCCAAGTTCTGAGTCCTACAAGAAAAGAAGACAGGAGCAGTGTGGTTTACTGTCCAGGTCTGGTGGCCACCAGGCAAGATGTCAGAGGCAGGGCTAGGATGCAGCAGTCACAGAGAGGAGATGGCAGCAACATGGGGAACAGTCACTAGAGGGGCCTGACTAATCGCTCCAGTGGTGTCACTCTAAACGGGAGCCATCTATAAAATTAGGTGTCACCACCTTTGTGCATCCTCCTGGTCCCTGACACCAGAACCAGGACGGAGGACATGAAGGAGAATATCAAAGCCTACGGATGAACTTTCTATGATAGGGCATGGAATATGTCAGAAATGCAAGTGTGCGTCTCTAACACACTACTGAACAGAAGAGGAATGTGACCCAAAGAAATGCTGACCGAAATTTAATAGAATTTGTCTCAATCTGACATGCCCACCTGCCCAAAAAAAGCACCTGCCAGCTTCTTCCATTGCTGCATTACCTTCTCCCTGGAAACGGGGTTTTGGAATCTCCTTGGAATGATTCCCCCCCCCCCATTGGGAACCCTGTACTCAGCCTGTCCCCCACTTGCTGAACACACTGCATGCCAGACTACAGCCAACACCTAAGTGACCCAGGGAGCCACCGACCTCACGCCTGCCTATCAAGGACGCACTGGACACAGCAGAAAGCTAAACACGGTAACATTTCTGTTATCAGGCATTCTACTGACAAAAAGTATAAGAAATATTTCTAACTATTTAATAATTGCTGTTTATAACTTATTTGAGGCACTGCCAAGCAAACAAAAAACCTTCTAAATCATCAGAAATCAACAAACAAAATTAGACTCAGTAAGGTTTTAGCAGTAAATTATTGTCTCCATAGCTTATACTCTCACGTGGCCCACCCCGTGACCACCGCCTCTCTCCACACCTCCATCCTACACCTACTGCCTGGCCTCGCTGGTGGGCGGGCAGGAGACTCACTCCCCATCATACAAGGCCTGACACCCACAGCTGCCTTTCTCGATGCTGCACTAACTATCCGCCATGGCCCATGTGTGTGGATAGCCATGCGGATAGCCAGGTGTGTCCTCCTAACCAACCCACACCTAAGAAGGAAGTCCTGGGGCCAGCCATGGCATCCATTCTCCAGTCCTGGACAGCCGGCCCAGTCGCATAACCATGCCACCTGGGGCCATTACGGATGACCTGCAGCCACTCCTAGCTGGGGCACCAGTGCTGTTCCAACCCTGCCGCTCCGAGTGTAGTCATGGACCAGCAGCAGCAGCAGCACTTGGGAGCTTGCTAGAAATGCAGAATCCTGGACGCCACCCTAAACCCCCTAAATCAGAATCTTCCTTTTCAGCAAGATCTGCAGGTGGTTCATATTCTCAGTCAGGCTAGAGAAGCTCTATGCTAGAAAACACTTCCACTCATCTCCAGCCTCACCCCAGCTGGTATCTGTCTAATGCTAGGAACACCACTCACTGTACTTAAATATATTAACTAATCTAATCTTCACAGTAGGCCTATGAGCTGAGAATCATTTTATTGCCCCATTTTTCAGTTTTACATGGGTAAAGTTAAACAAGAGGCCCAGGCTCCTACAGCTGGGAGGTGACAATGCTAGGATCAGACCCCCGGCTCTCTGTTCCTAGCCTCTGCTACTGCTGCTCACAGCGGTGCCCTAATCTCACTCAGCCCCAACCTCTTACAAACTTCATCTGCTACCTTGAGAGCACCAAGTCCATTCAACTTATACCCACAGCCCCTCTCTTCCTAACCAACTTCACACTCTCACCCTTCTTAGCCTCTTTTCCTTCTGTGTGTAAGGAAAATGGATTCCTTCTCCTTTCCAAGACCAGGGCCTCCTGCATGCTCCTTGTGTAGCTACTCAC